AGGGATATCCCCCTTCTTCACTACTATCACCCCACCCCCTCTCTCCCCTCTCTCTCTCTCTCCCTCCCTCGCGAACAATTTCTACCGCCCTTCCTGACATCTATTTGAGTGTGTGTTTGTATTGGTTATACCTTTTCTTTCGCCTTTCCACGGCTTTTTTCTTGCCATCCCCCCTCTCCCCCTCATCTCTCAGTCGTTACCGACGTCTCTATAGACCATTTTACTGAAGGAGGGCGAGAGAGAAAAGGGGAAAGGGCTACCGGCGCTTTCCCCCTTTCTGATTGTGTAGAAAGAGTGAAAGTCCCGGATGAGAGGCTTCGCCGGTGTTGGGTGTGTGTTGCTCGAACTTTGTTCGCGCTTTCTTTTCTGCTTTAAATTCGCAAACTTAATTAGAGCCAGAGGCTTCGATGGCAACAGTCCCCCGGTCATCGGGACACCATTGCTGGGTCATAGGGTGCACGAATAAAAACAGAAAGCATAGAATACTGTCCGAGGACATATGTAGCTTGCAAGGAATCCAGCAAGGCGAGAGCGGCTGGAACGTCTTTGAGCTTCATCGCTTTCCACATGACCCCTGTCTCCGGGGGCAGTGGATTGCGTCCGTAAACCGAAAAGGCGTTTACTCAACGCCATCCTCTCGACTTCGCTCGGAACATTTCGTGAATGGAGAGCGCACGGAACGCTGTACAACCGATGAACATGGGGTACGCTCGCAATGTGCGTGCGAGTTTTCTCATGATAACTGCTGTTTCAGCTTGTAAAATTTCGTAACTGAATTTATCTTAATAGTGATAATTTGCAGTGGTGACTGAATCGATTTTATCATCTACAACACTTAGTTGAAGGCTTATTTCCGCCGCCGGGTGAGGCTGCAAATTGTTGAAAACGTAGGTCTATTAAGTTTTTTTTTTTTTTTTTTTTTTAATCGCGATTTTCTGCCCGATACGAGAGAGCCGGTAAAAGCGCTCCTTGGAGTGCCGCTGGTGGGTTGTTTTCGTTGACTAAGGCGCTTTGAGGCGCTTGATAGTCGCTGCAGGGAACGTCTCGTGTGTTGCGATCTGCGTTTTCAAGCCCAGTGTGCACGTTTCTTTGTTTGAGTCATGGCATCCGCCAGTGTTGCGACGGGGGGAACAGCGGCAGCGAACGTGCAAGCTATAGAAATTGGAGGTGAGTACCCAAAATATTGCATCAAATAGTAAAATAATTCGTGGCTGCTTCGAGGCTTTCTGCGGTTCGATAAAAGTACACCTAGAGCGTCTTCGTCGTTCATTCACAAGGAAATATAAGAACAGGGACACGAAGATAAAAACAGCACAGAAAGACGATATGTAGCAGCTCCGGGCGTTTACAAAGTTAATTGAGGTTCCCGTTTCGTGTATCGATGGTTGATTACAACTAAAAGCGGCTCCGTTGAAATAGGCCCATTGCAAGCAAAAATGCATAAATGGTTCATCATTTCCAGTCATGCGGAAAGCAATGGAGCTTAAAAACATTCCAGCCGTACTTGCCTTGCCGGATTCCATGCAAGCTACATATAAGCCCTCGGACAGTATTCGACGCTTTCTGTCGTTATTCGTGCACCCTATCACCCAGCAATGGTGTCCCGATGACCGGGGGACTGTCGCCATCAAAGACCATGGCTCTAATTAAGTTTGGGAGTTTGAAACGTAGAAGAAAGCGCGAAAGAAGTTGGGGCACTGCAGACGCCCAACACCGGCCATGCCTCTCATCCGAGACTTCCACTGTTTCTACACAATCAGAAAGGGGGAAAGCGCCGGTAGCCCTTTCCCCTTTTCTCTCTCGCTCTCAAAATTGCGCTACCCACGATAAAACGGTCTATACATAACGCCTGTGGGTGACCCCGGTGGCGTTGTCGACAGTGGCGGAAAATGAGCTCTAAAACCGCGTACACCGCGCACGGCTCCACAATATCACAAAGTTTAATCTTCGCCTCGATTCCGAAGCGAAGATTTTGGCCTCAAATAACTCCTTCCCAAAGTTGTGAAACGTCACTTTGTCGTCAGCAATAACTTCCACAAACGACGATCTTGCGACGAGAAAGTTCAGAGCATTTACAGCCCGCCTAGCTACAATCTACGCATCATTGACTTTATTGCGGCGTAGGGATGTAGGGACACGCAGGCGTGACGTCATCAGTGAAGCCGGTCAATCGGCTGGCCCCACGGTGTTGCTCGAGCGCGCTCCGATGAAGCTCGCTACAACTTTGTGCCTAACATTCTCGCTGGAATTTGAGCACCGAGAGAGCTTGGATGATTGACATCTTGTCCCGCGTGCCGCCAACGTCGCGAGAGTCCAATCAGCAAGCTCCGCGAGCTTCGTGCCCAACTTTGTGTTTGACGAGTTTAGCGACCCAGGTAACGAGATGGAGGTTGTTTTTCGTTTTATCATACTGGAGGGTGTCTTTGGTCTATCCCCGGCGGTGATAGGTGGTGCAGTTGACGCTGGCGTAGGCTGATCCGGAGCGTCGAACAGGCTGTCGTTGAACGACGGCAGCTGGCATACGCCGCAGTACGTTGGCTCCGAGCTGTTCGACAAGCGCAGAGAGGCCGGCAGTGAGAGTTGCTCACATTTCCTGTGGAGGCAGATGTTATATCCGTCTCAATGTGGAGCTGCCACGTCATCGTAAATCGGTCTGCAGCAGCAAGGAAAGGTATTGCGAGCTCACGGGTTGAGTGTTACGTCGCCGGCAAATAACAGCATGAAGTATACATGAGGTTGAAGAACGCAACGGCGGACAGATGTTTGAGACCTGTCTGTCTATGCTAGAAAAAGCGGTGGAGAAACTGCATCGTGACGTCGCCGATGGGAGGAGCCTAATCTCCATCGCCAACAAACTACATCGGAAGATAACTGCACCGTGACGTGTCCGGTGACGTCGCCGAACAGTGGCGATTGAGTTGAAACTACATCGTTTCTTTTTTCCCTACAGGGAATTTCGGAGAACGTCGAGTAGGCTAGCGCACACCAGCTCGGAGCACGTGAAGCGAAAGCTCGCGCTGCAGAACCCAGGAATCCTGAGTTCAATCCCCGCCCCTGTCCGTTTCGATCTGGATGAGCATCGTACCGGCGTGCGGTCGTGTATCACTACTGCGTGATGCACGTTAAAGACCCCGGGCTAGGAGTCGTACTGCACTGGCTAAATTGCTTCTCTACAGTGGGTAACAATGTCGCCATGTTCAGGCAGACTAACCTCCTGCTGTATAAACAACTAACGACCAATTTTATTTTTTTGGCTATATTTGACTGCGTTAGTGCATTGTCTCTCCTGCTGCACGAGAAAGAAAAAATGTTCCTTCTGGGGTTAAATTTTCGGTAAAGTAGGAAGCAAAAAAGAAGAAAACAGAATATTTCCCTCAAGTTGGGTTTGTAGCAGAAGAGAAGGAAAAAGAAAATCACTTCTTAGTCCCACGGTGTGTATGGCCTTTTCTTTATGTGTATGTTTATTCTAGTTCAGCTGGCCTTACCTGAAGTAGTTGCTTTAAGGTAAAGTATATCTCTCCCTCTCTCTCTACCTGAAGTATGAACGAACTAGCTCAACTTAAGCCTGTTACCGTTGCTTGCTTGGCTTTTCGCTCAGCCAAATCGCTTATATGGGGTGCACTCAAATGAAATCACAATCGTGTTGAATCGTGTAAGAGTATTTAAAATATTTATCGATCACGCCGCTGAACTTGCATTGCTCGAAGAACTTCCTTTTTGTGAGCACCTTCTCTGTTTGAGTTTGTTCGAAACACAGCCACTTCGATCCGAGGCAATCGATGATAGCGTTGATGCCATCACCAAGTACGCGACTCACAGAGCACTAGTGAACACCGATCGTTTCGTCGCTCCCGACGGTTCCCTGGAAGCCGCCAACGGCGTAAAAGCGTAGAGCTGCGAGGACTTGTTGTTCGACCGTCAGCACACGGGGCCCTTCACGACAACGCTGGAGCTTTCCGCGAAGCTGGTTGCACCGCCAGCGAGTCACCCCTTTGGTCAGCCAGTATTCGCCAACAAACCTCGCATCGCTCGTCTCCAAAGCATCCCGGTGATATTTAAAAACTCGACCCGCAAGCTAACCCAACAGTAGAGATGCATATGTTAGGGTCGCCATCTTTTACGATGCAGATTGATCTCTGGCTTCGTCTCGACCAATCAGTTAACTGCATCGTCGAAGTGCATCGTGACGACATTTTGACGTCACCGCCAACTGCATCATTTTACGAGCATAGCTCGAACTCCATAGGGAAAAACTATATTTCAACATCATGTCACGTGACCCGAGAGAATAGCCAATCAGTGCCCAATGCAGTTTTCTACATCATTTAGTTTGCGTTCCAGCATAGATAGACTGGTTGACGACCGACCGGATCGGGCAGGCTTTGTAGGACTAGCATATCCACATCCGCGTGTGAGCGCCATACTCCATTTGGGACAATCGAAATTCGCCTGATGATGGGCGTGCTGTGTCGTGGGATGGTTGCGAGGGAAGGGCGCTGCGGAACAAGAGTACTGAAGCGTGGAAACGGCGAAGAAAAAGTATAAACAAGCGCACGCACTGAAAAGCGTGTCCTTTCGCCATCGCGATCGTGATAGTCACACTGCTTGAACATCATACAAAAGACAGTCAGCATAAAGATTCGAATGCGATCGAACGCGAAATCCGTGTTTCGGACGCCGTAGGACAGCGAGTTTAGGGAGAAGCTTGGCACGCTGTATTCGAACCACGGATATCGCGGTGCCTGATGGCTGGCAGACTGTCTTCTGCATGTCGTGATAAGTGGTGTGACTCCGCTAAAAGAAAGACAAGCTCATGCACAAAAACTAAGAGTAAAGTTACGGCGAACCGGCGGATGGGCACGCATTGAAAGAAGCTGAACGTCATGAAGTTGCGCTTACGGCGCTACCTGAGTGGCTCGTTGGTTCCTACCGCTGGCTAGCAGAATATAGCTAAAAAAAATGAAAAAATGGCGTCCCTTTGTGGCCGTCATTTTTCTTACCCGGCAGGGACTTGGCAACGTCCTCAACTCTGTCCAAGTTCCTTCCAGCCACAATGACTCGGCAGCCTTTCTTGGCGAAAGCGAGACTCACACATCTGCCGATTCCCCCGCCGCCTCCGACTACGAGAGCGAGTCGTTCCTCGAAGAAGCTCGAAGCGCTGGACATGGCTTCCAGGACAATTTTAGAGGCAGATGCTGCAGCAACGGTGTAACTTCGGGAGAATGTCACATGTGTGCGAATCATTCCTGTATAATTATAACTAGGTCATGTGATTTTACGCGATCATTCAAATCACAGGTGCGCGCGAGATGTACGTGCAGGACGGTAAAAAATTCAGAAAACAAAAACAAAAAAAGACGACACTTTTTGTTTCGTTTTTTTATTTATTCGCAACCTTCTGTAGGGCTCAATTTTTTATATAATGGGTGGTATTTTAGTTGCAAGAAAAAAGGCTCAAAGTTCTATGTAAAGCGAGCAAGGTTTCCTGCAAATTTCGCTCATATCTTAGTCATTTCCGCTTTTTAGGGCCCTAGATTAGCACAAAAAACTTATTTTGGCCCGAGAAACTGTGCTACCTGGGTATTTATATGACATGAATATTGAAGTTTATAATTATAATAAAGTGTTTATGAAATGCTAATATTAAACAGCCTCTAAATAATATTTTGGTACGGGTGGAGTAAAGACAGATGCAGTAACGACCAGTTGAATAATATCATTTTAAGGCCACGGTCCCACTGAATGTGGCAGTTTAGGTACTTTTAGGCAGGACATTACTCATCTCCTTTTAAATACTATTTTGTGGGATTGATGTCATTCAAAAGGCAATGCAATCCTCTTTTATTTGATATTATGTATGTGCTGGTTTTTATTGTTCATGCGCGTTTGTAGCGTAGCGAATATGATGGCGCAGACCCTCACTTGCTCCGCTAGTTCATGTGTTATGAACGATCCATTAAAGATAGCACGGTTCCAATATAGCAGTTTTGTTAAGATGATGTCGGAGCAGAATGTAACGATACACTTTTTTGTTATTTGCACTACTTTTTTTTTCATCCCTCCAAATATTGCCCTAAAATTGACATTTTTCAGTACAAATATGTTTTCAATGACTAGCACTAGGGCAATGAAATTAGCTACAGATGTAGTGCTTATAATTGGTAATATGCGAAAAAAATTTAATGTTGTGTAATTTTTTTTTTGTTTAGATATTTTATATCAAACGTAGCACTTTTTTGTGCTTCGAAGCATGGTACTTCAAATGCCGCTGAGGAAATAAATAAACTATGATAAAATCTTTTATAACATTTAGAGCTACAATGGTTGCCCAAGATGCCTTTTTTTCATTTTCGATGTCATAACGCTCCAGGAGCCCTTCAAACTTACCTGTTTTTGACGCATAACGTTCTTGGACATCCAACAGATGTATTGGCATCTAATAACATTTATTGTTTAGAATAGATATACATAGCGATGTATTAAATTTTCACAATGATCTTGCTTTGGTTTCTTAATGGGTGTAGAGCTTAGCTAAACTTAAAAACAATTAAAAACTGTTTGGGTGTTTTGTTGCGTAACCTGGCGGATGGCAGACAAACTGCTGATTTCTAGTGTTCAAAAAATTTCCGAGGGCAGCATTGGCGTCTGTATCACCATCAATCTCCGTGTATTTTTACCTTCACATTTAAAAAAAATATATTGGAAGATTTACTATCAATAAATCAATGGTTTAAGGACTGGGTCAGGTCAATAAGTCTAAGACAAATAATTACACACGCGTAGCGTGATATAATGTGTTCATTCTTCGATATGATTGAAATCAATTAACAATAAAGACGAAGAGGAAAATAATACACCCGAGTTCACTTCATGCCTAGAGTCACTAAATGAGCTCTAAAGTATCAGCACTTCGTTCCCCAAAATTGTTTTGGGCGCCGCCATTTTGGGTCTTGTTCAGAGCAAACGCAACTGCCGATCGTCATGATCAAAAAGTACGACTTCCTCAGCATTAGATGCGGTGCTAGGAAGCTGATGCACTGTTGCAATGCTCTGTCGCGAGTTGTTTAAACATTTGTGAGGGACGGAAAAGCGTTTCCTGTTATTTTAGATAAAGCTTCATATAACTGGCAACCATGATTTTAAGCCACAATGGAGTGTGGGAGAGGCCTAAACCTGTCCTACATGAAAAATGGGCAAATGGTGAGACAACATCTTCCAGGACTATTTTATGCGGATGATCTGGTGCTGACAGCGGGCACCTGTGAAGAGATGCAACAGCTGCTGGACATGTGCACAAAACAAGGGGACAGACTGGGCCTAAAGTTCAGCTCCCATAAGTGCAAAGTGCTGAAGTGGGGGCCTACTGAGAATGTAGAGGGGGCTTTGGACACACCGCTCGTACTGCAGGGGGAGACTGTGCAGTGTGTCACGGACTACAAGTACTTGGGTGTACACCTGTCCACGGGTAGGAACTACATCCAAGCGCACGAATCGGCTGTCCGGGCAGAGGCCATGAGGGGAAAGGGAGTGCTGGCAGCAACGTCCATGTGGGCTTTCGACCGCTACGAGGTTGCTCGTAGCCTGTGGAAGATGGTGATGGTGCCCGGACTGACTTTCGCGATTTGGGTGCTGTGCACGTCGTCCCAGACTCGGGAGTTCCTAGAGGTTCGACAGCGGGAGGCGGGGCGGATGGCACTCGGGGCACACAGGGGCACTCCGAACGAAGGGGTGCAGGGGGACCTCGGGTGGTCTGCTTTTGAGTCGAGGGAAGCGGTGGCTAAGCTGGCTTACGAGAGGCGTCTGTGCGGCCTCGGAGAGGAGCGATGGGCCAGAAGGTGTTTAAGTACCTCGTGTACAGGAGTGTAAACACGCGCCTGACCAAACAGGTGGCCAGGCTCGCGGGGAAGTTTGAGGTACCATCGACCCTGCTGGACGGCCGGCCGCTCCGAGAGGGGGTTACGGACCTCAAGAAGCACGTGCGGCAGATCGAGACGCGAAGGTGGACGGAGTCGGCCACACGAAAGTCATCAATGACTGTATGCGACCTCGAAGCGTGCGATCTAGCGGGAGCAGCTGTACGATGACTCCAGGGGCAGCGGCTTGCTTTTCGAGGCACGCACGGGAACCCTCAAGACCAGGCTGTAGAGATCGCGATATGACACTGGGGCCCCATTCACCTGCGTCGCCTGCGGAGCAGCAGAGGAGACAACCGAACATCTAGTGCTGCAGTGCAAGGCCCTCAGCCCGTGCCCCCAGGGCCGGTTTGCTCATCTTGCGGCTGCGGACGCGGCCGCGGCCAGGAGGGATTTTTACATCACGTGACGAGCTCCATGGGGACGAGGAAGGACCTCGCGTCCCTGCCTAATGGTGGAGAGATCCGCATCGCTTCAAGCACAAAAGCCTAATTTCGCTCGCAGAAACTGATTGGAGGGACATTCAACTGGAATCTAATTGACCGCCTCTTTATACTGTAGGAGCGGCAGGTAAAGTTACGGCCAGGGAGGGTAAATAGGAGCCAAAATAAAGAAACAACCACACAAGATAAAAGCGGTAGCAGTATTTTTATATACCTCCGCCGGCGCCGCGCCTCGCGTCTTCTGTTGTGGTCGGGAGTGCGAGCGCGCGTGCCGAACGTGCAAGACGTTCGAAACATGAGCTCCGTGGAAGCGTCTGCAACGGCCCTTGCTGGCCGCGGTTCTAATCACTCCGGTGAATCGACGAACGATGACTATAAGATTGTTTTACCACAGATGCCTACAGGAATTACTAGTGAAACATCGGTGCTTCTGCATTGCGATCTGAAAGGGCGCCCCTACCGTATCCAGGATTTTCGACAAGAGATGGCCAGGTGCGGCGTACTCGGCGACATCGCAGCACTCGGTGCGTACCAAATGAATCATGTTTGGATGGCTACCCTCCGAACGGCAGAACCAAAGAGACGACTCGTGGACGCCAAAGAACTGCAGGTGAAGAATCTTCGGTGCCTCGTCGTGGATCCCAGCATCACGGAGTTACGGCTTCGTCTCCACTGGATCCCGTATGATGTGCCGGACGACGTTGTGCGTAAGGAATTGGAGCCGTATGGCAAGGTCCTGGAAGTGAGCCGGGAGAAGTGGAATGTTGAAGGCTTCCAAGGGATCGAATCAACGACCAGGTGTGCGCGGATGACACTGAACGAAGGCGGCACGGCCGATACCATGCCACACCAGCTTCGGATCCAAGGTGGTAACGTACTTGTTGTGATCCCTGGTCGGGCGCCCTTGTGCTTACGCTGTAAGCGCACAGGTCATATTCGACGAGAATGCAGGGCGCCGAAGTGCTCGGAGTGTTTTCGCTTCGGGCATTATGGCACCGAGTGTGTCAGTTCGTACGTCAGGGTGGCCAGCGGGGCCGGGACGGCCGAGACCAATGACCACGCCATGGATGCCGAGGAAGCGGAGCGTACTATCCAGGGCTTGGCGCCAGAAGTTTCAACCCCTGCCAAAGAACGCAAGAGTCAAGGAAACAGCTCCTTGGAGGCAGCCAGAGAGAACGGAGGTCAACCGGAAGGCGCACCTCCCAGCGGTGCCGACGTGAAAGCCTCTGATGCCGGAGCAGACAAGGAATCGAAGGACGCAAGCACCAACGGACCTTCAGATATGGACGACACCAGCGAGTCAACTAAGCGAGCCTTCGATGACGATACGGCAGCAGGAAACGGAGCACTCCAACTACACCCCTGGATGGAACGCACGAAGAAGGGGCGTTACCAGCCCGCGCCCAACGATCCTAAAGAGGAACGTCGGCGCAGGGAAAGCAAGTAAGGCGTTCTTTGCCTGGTTCCCTGGTGTTCAAGATTGCTGCATCAAGACAACTTCGACCCTGACTGCTTAGGTGTTTAGTGTCTGCACCGAAGCACAGCGCATGATTTGTGAGTCCCAATCAGCCATTACAGGTCAACGCTGAATGTTCGTGGTTTATGCACTAGGAAAAAGCAGTACCAAATACAGCGATTATTGTCGAAAGAGCAACCCGATTTCTTGTACGTTGCAAGAAACTAAATTGGCTGAGGCGGAACAGGTAGAGGAAGCAGTCAGACCTTTCATGCCTAACTACGAAATCTGTGTGACGCATGCAGTTGGTCATTCAGCAGGGTGCTTCCTGCTTCTGAAGAAGTCGGTACCGTT